ATACCTGCCCCCGCACCTGCCACTCACACCTGTCTCCCCACTCCTCCACCCAGTATTCACCGGTCTCCTACCCATGATTGCCAATGAGGGTGAAATGAGGGTCCCAGGGACCCAGGGCAAGAGCCCAGCCAGGCGGATGCTGGAAAGGCCTTTCTGCACGGTGGGCGTTCCCTCCAGGAGCAGCCTGGATGGCCATCACCTCTGCCAGTGAGACCACCGTCTGCACCCCAGGACCCCTGGGCCCCCTCCACTCGAAACGGCCCCCTGCTGCGTCCACAGGCCCCCTGGTGTATCATGACCTGGTGGGTGGTTGTTAGGGGACTTGGTCAGCTCCGACTCACAGTGTCCCCGTGGAAACAGAACAAAACACCACCAGGCCCTGCACCGTCCTCACGACTGTTCCCAGGTCTGAGCCCCGGTTGCAGCCTCTGTGTCAATGCATCCCTGGAGGGTCCCCCTCTCTCTGCCCCCAGATGTTACCAAGCACGGCGTCCTTCTCCGGGACTGCCTCTCCTGACAACATGTGCACAGTATGGGAGACGAAGCCCAGCTTCGCCACTGGGGAGCACTCTGGGCAGACTTCTTCTACCACGTGTCTGTCATTTTGTCTATTGGTGGCTTGTGTGGAGCTGTGATGCTGGAAGCTGTGTCCTTGGCATTTCAAAAGCCAGCAGGACCACCACAGTGCACAGGCTTCAGCGGAGCTTCCAGACCGAGGACAGACGGTGGAGGAGGGCTCCGCTCCCCCTTCGGGGAGGAAGGAGCTGCCAAAAACCTTAAGGGGGCTTCCAAACGCTGTCAGATCCGCTGCTCCAGGCCTCTTGACGAGCCAGGAGGCGACCATGAGGACGGAGGTGGGCCTAACCCAAGCCAGGGTGTGGTCGAGGGCCTCGAGTGCGTGTGAGAGTGGGGCTTTGACTAAGGAAGGCTGAGGACCAATGCGCGCTCTGTCCGGTGCTGGCAAAGACCACCGGCAAAAGAACCAACACATCAGGCTTGGAGAAGTCCCTGGAGACGGGCGCCCTGCGTGGCAGAGCGGAGGGCAGTGAGGACCAGGAGGCCCTCCCTCAGCGGGAAGACGAGGCAGCCGGGGCTCAAACAGAAGAACACCGTGAGGCAGGCAGCGGTGTTTCTGTGGGGGGAGGTCAGATGCGCAGGCATTCCCTCCCCTGAGGGGATCAGTTGCCAGACTGCTGTCTCATCCCTCCACAGGGGTGGGCCTGCTCCCTGCCTCTGGGGACAATGGA